AGAGAGAAAGAAAGAGAGAAAGAAAGAAAGAACTGCCTTGAGCTGGAGAGATGGCTCAGAGGTTACAAGCTCTTATTGCTCTTGCAAAAGACCAGGGTTCCATCTTAGCACCCACATCTTGGTCCATAGCCATCCATAACTCCAGTTTGTGGGGAATCTGATTCCCTCTTCTCACCTCCATGGACACCAACATGCAAGTTGTGCATATACATACATGCAGACAGAACATTCCCAAATAAAATAAAATGAATAAATCTCATTTAAAAATTGTCTAAAAACTGCCTAGAAGAATAGTAAGGCACACTTCTGTCTATGTCTGGGAAGGTCTTTCCACATAGGATAGGACTTTGAAAATCTTGGCCTGATCAGTGAATAATCTTTACATTAGCTCGTAATGAGATTGGGTTGTTGGAAGCTAGTAGCAAAAGCAGGGAGTTGGCTTCTTTTAGAGAGACTATAATTTACTGGGGCAAGCTTGGAAGGATCCACCTTACCCCTGCACCTTCCTGAACATGGTCTTCTTCCTGGCAGCCAACTGTGTTCTATCATTTCTCCAATTTGATGATTCTGTATTAATGTTGCCTAGAGCAATTTAACGCTCACATTTGATTTTAAACAGATTTTATGAGCTGAATTGTAATATTCTACCTTTTAAGTAGGTTCAGGTGGGTTTCAAGGGTTCAATATTCTCACACAGTATTCTCTCATCCTGCTAAAGTAGAAACCAGTCCATTTCTAAGGAGTCCTAAGTTGGAAAGATAATCTTTCTGTCAGTGAATATTGTATAGTAGACGATGATGAGAATGGCCTTAACTGCATCTGATGACAAGTTTACCGTATTGAGAAAAAACTGTGATATTTGCATGATGGGTCTGTTCTCTGAGTCAGCATGACACACAAGGTAAATACATGTACTGTATCTGCCAGATAGAATGAACTGAAATATAGCCTAAGTGTTTTCTTTCCTTTAAATTATTTACTTATTTTTATGTGCCTTGGTGTTTGCCTGTGTGTATACTTGTGTAAGGGTGATAGGTCTTCTGGAACTGTACTTAAAGATGGTTGTGAGCTACTATGTGGGTGTTGGGAATTGAACCTGTGTTGTCTGGAAGAGTAGTCAGTGCTCTTAACCACTGAGCCATCTCTTCAGTCCTGTATTCTAAGTATTTTCTACCAGCTAGAAATGCTGACAGCATTTTCAGACAAGGTGTAAGCAGTCCTATCCCCACCTCTGTATTGTACCATGTGGATTATAGCACTAAGAATTTTCTAGAGATATTGACTTGATGCTGTGCATATGCCATCAACTTATGTATCAACTAATGTCCCATTTAATAACTTTTCTCCTTTCTTTGGAAGAGGAAGGCTCTCCCACCCTATGTTTTTCCTTTTCCTGTAGCTATGTTTTACGTAGGTACAGATTCTGAAGAGAAGTTTTGATGGACAGACTTCCATTTATTTCTTTAAAAAATTAACTGAGTATAGGAGTGTTCATCTGCATGCTTTTCTGTGAAGAGCATCTGTGCAGGATACCCATGGAGCCCTGGGGTAGTCACCAAACCCATGGCAGGGGAGTTGAGCAAAATCATAAGTTGTCTTGTGTGTAGTTGTGAGGTGAGACACAGCTGCAGACAGGATTGATCCAGCGTCAAAATTGGAGCAAATCTGACAGTTATAGAATTTGGAAGCAAAATTTTGCTGATCATAACATCATTATCTGAGATATGACACTGCGCTGCTCTTTGATATCAACACAGAGTTCTTAAGCTACATCTAGACCTCAAATGTATATCTTATTATTCCCTAAACATTTGTTGACTCTGAGACTATTATGTCATTCTGATTTCCACAGATAGAAAATTCAATACAGACTATGACTATTTTAGATAGTATCCTTTTTTGTTTTGTTTTTTGAGACAAGGTTTCTTTTCTCTGTATAGCGTTGGAGGTCCTAGAACACTTTCTGCAGACCAGGCTGGTCTCATACTGACAGAGATCCTCCTGCCTCTGCCTCCCAAGTGCTGGGATTAAAGGCATGCACTACCATCATCTAGCAGAAAATATCTTTTATTAAAATTACATTTCACATTTGTTTTTTGTGTGGGAGTGTATTTGCTTGAATGTATGCATACGTGCTGTGTATACCTCCTGCCTGTACAGAATGTACAATTGAGCATTGGATCCCATGGAACTGGAGTTAAAATCTGTTGTGTAGTGTCATGAGAGTGCTAAGAACCAAACTATGTTTTGCCACATTCTGTTTCTATAGGAATGGTTTCGGAATATTCTGCTGTAAATCATCTCATGATCATCCTATTGTACACATGACTGACTTTTCTATGTAATAACTAATACTTGGAGAAAATATAATTTGTTTGACTGTGCATATGTATGATGTGTTTATTTCATTCCTGTCATTTTTGTGTTCATATCAATATTATACAAATTTCATTACTTTCATTTAAGCATACTGGGAAATTAGGACAATTTTTGCCTCAAACTTTGTTTCCTAATTTCCTAACTGTGAAAATTTCAGTAGGTCCTTTATATTCTGTTCATTTTGTGGTCTGTTTACTCATTTCCTGATAAAATGCTGGCAGGACTCTGATAAGAATTTCTTAGTATCTCTGCAGAATATTAAACTATATTGTCTTCTAATTGATTTTTCCCGTTGTTTCTCAGTGATTTCCACTACAATAATATTAATTGATTTTAAAATCTTGGTTTAATCTTTTGAAGGGTTTGAATGCAGTGTTTTCTCAATTATATATATATTTTGGATTACTTTGTTCATAAACAGATTGCTTAGAATCTTTAGAAAATAGAAGCCTTCTTACTGATTTTGTTCCTGTATTTGAATGAGAGCATGCTATTGTAGTGTCACTGTTCATATGTCATGTACGTAATTTGTTTTGGTTTGCTGTTGCTGTTATATGCATGTTGATCAGTGAGTATTTACTCATCAATGCAAAGAATTATGGTAATAAGTAATTTCATACAGAAACTCATGTGAATAGTTGAAATTTACGTGAATTCTTTGCTTGTTTGATGTTCAAAGAAGCTGCACACTGACTTGCCTGGTGAGTGCAGGAAGTTGGATTCCTGCTGTATCTCTTGAATTCTTTCTGCTGCTTGTCTGAAAGATAAATTACTAGAGGACCTTTAGTGTGGACACTGAGCAAATAGAAAGGAGACATTGCTGTACATTAGTTGAGAGTTTTGTCCATGACTAACTGTGTCACATGGAGGTTCCAGACAGGAGATTGGTGTCAGGATCAGTCATAAGATGTGTGCCGACTATGATATGTGCTGCTAATGAACCAGCTGTAACAGGTGCCCCGAGTGTCAGGATTAGTGTGTCTGCATCTCTCATTTCATTATTTTTTTTGTAAAGGAAATCAAGTGGTTACTGAACAAAAGTGCAGACCAATGCATTAAACAGGTGAAAGAATTTCGCAGCTGTGATTGGAAGGGTGAATGTTTGGGGTGTGAACTTTATGGAGTATCACAAAGCCTGGTATAGAGAGGGCAGAAATGGTAGACCTGATTCTGACTCAATTAATAGTCAGGACAATTATTTAGATAATGCAGAAGGCACTTGCAGATATGAAATCATCAGCCCTGCTCCTTTCATGTCTTTTTAGTGAGACCCTCTGAGTTTAACTACATTTACCTGTCTAAGAAGAGGAGGGTAGTTACTTACTGGATATGGGCAAGTCCTAAATACCTCCACCTCTGAAAGAGACACTCCTCTACTGTAATCTGCTATGAACTGCCTATTGACATGCTGTAAAGGTTGCAACCTCAGGAATACCTCTTTTAGCTTTGATGAAATGTTGATAGACTCAATCTCATGAGGCATACATGATTCCAGAAGGTTTTTCACTGTGTGTTCTCCATTTTCTGGCTCCGGCTCTTCCATTTTTCCATTCTGTCTTCCAGGATGTTCCTTTGACCTGGACCAGAGGGTTGTTCTTCACTGACAGGCTCCTGAGGAGGAAGGTCCAGAGAATCAGAACAAATAAGATCGGAAAGATGGGTTCAAGAGTTCTTGCATAAGCTTGTTCTTATGCCCTGCAGGGTTATTAAGAGGCACAGCATGTTATACACAGTTCTAAAATTAGAATGGGGCAGTGTCAGTGAAAAAATATAATGCAGTGAGACAAAGTATAGGGAGTCCAGTCAACATGGCAGAAGGGGAGCACAGGCTATCACAACATCAGAGATCAGGCACACCTTAGCCTTGGGACAGATAACTCCAGCCCCTTATGTTGTGAAGAGTTGGGCTCTCTGGGTCAGAAGCCACAACTTCCAAGTACCCTGACACATTTTGTTATTGGCTCCACCAGGTATATTCCTGGGTTCAGAGGAAGAATATTATTCCTTCTCTATACATCAGGACCTCAGGGAAAGCCTCACATGGATCTACTCATCACAGTTCTGGTGTTCCACTTAGCTTACAGAATGCTAGCTAGCATCATTTAATCTCTCAGTATTGCGGAGTAGTGTTTTCTGTATTAACTTCTAGACACTTCAGGCTGAGTGCAGCATTTACTTTCAATGTAAGCAACAATTGAAAAGGAAGCTTGCCATTGGGATTTTTTGAGGAAAAAAAAAACAGCAATGCCCATTACTTAGTGTTTATGACATATCATACTACCTGTTCTTCATGAGTTTTTGGAATATGATATGAACTCTCGCTGAAATACAGTCAGAAAGTGGTTTCCTGTCTGTTGCTTTCATAAAGCACCACGACCAAGACAGCTTTGGCTAATGATTCAAGTGGCAAAGTCAGATAGCAAGGAACCATGTAGGTAGAATAGAGAGCTGAGAGATCGCATTCTCAACTGTCATGTGATCCTTAATGATCTCTCTCTATATATATATGTGTGTGTGTGTGTGTACACACACACACACACAAATATAAATTTACTAATTGATTTTATAGGGTTAACAGACTTACTGATACAGGAAGGTAAATCCAGTTGCTTTGTCCTTGGAAAGCTGGGAACTGATCACACCCTGCTTCATGTTGCCTTATCCGGTCTTCACCACCCAAGATAGTGTGGACCCCCCCCCCCTTCTCTTCCCTTTTAAGAGGTCATGTAGGCAGACAAGAATCACCGCCTCTATCAGGCCAGGTACCTGAAAGTCACTGGTGAAGTGAATACCCACTACACTTCCCCTTTTTGTCTAAATAAGAAGGTTCTAAACCTAATATGAAACTATATACAATAAGAATGATTATCAAGTATTGTCCAGGAGAAAGAAAGGGTAATAACATAAACAAAAATGGAACTACAACTAACAAGAACAACATCAAGCAAGGAACACATACTAGATGTGTCAGAATATAGGTAAATGGCAAAATATAGAGATTACTACAATAGCTGTCCTATCCTGAGGAATCTAAATCTAGTACCTTGTATGTTCTCAGCTAAGATAACCAAGAGGATTGTAATTGTAACCATCTAGTCTTGAACCCCATCAAAGATCCAAGAAGGAAAATAATATTGCCTGAGTGAGCACGCGGTGTAAGCAAGCAACTTCTGAAAATATGCAAGAAAAGACAGAGACAGCTGACTTCCTGGACAGGCCTCCAAAGGTTCTCTGCCGTGTTGGGCATCCACTATTGGCTGCAGGCTTAGAATATCTGACAGACCATTTTCAGAAGCAGGAAAATTTAAAAAACTGGCTTGCCCTGTCTTGGCAGGGTTCAGCAGTTGCTTTTTCTTGTGTCCTACTCGTCCAGAATGGACAGAGTGCTTACTGTCAGCAGTTGAGGCAAGAGTAGCTGTTTGCCCAACAGACCATTTTTGCCAAGAAGATAAATTCTATGTGGAGTGTCTTTGATTCCTAACATCCTCTCGGGAGTAGATCTGTACTGCCAGGAGCAATTGTGTCTCACTCACAAAATCACTAAAGAGGGAGAGAGAGAATTAAGGTGGCCTGTTTTTTTTGTTTGTTTGTTTGTTTTGTTTTGTTTTGTTGTTTTTTTCTTTTTCAGAGACTGTGTCAGGTGTCACACTTTATTCAGTAATATTCCAACAACTAAACTTCCCCAAACATTGTGACCAACTGGGGACTTAAATTCAGTTCAAATACATTAGCCAGTGGGAGACATTCTCATCTAAACCAATACAGTCAGCTTCCTAATATTCATGCTATGATTGTACTGGAAGGCACATTTTTAGAGGATTTTAAATCAGTGTAGAAAATATACCTTTAATTTCTTGTTTGGATTTTCCATTTGCTTGTTTCTGTAATAGGGTCTCACTCTGTAGCCCTGACTGGCCTGGAACCTGATATGGAGAGCAGTCTGGCATTCAACTCATATGGATTTACCCACCTTTGCCTCCTGAGTGCCTGGATTTAAGACCTACCCCACTGTGCCAGGCTTGAATTATACTTTTATCTTTTGATATTGCTTCTGGAATGCAGCAAGAATTTAGTTCATTTGTTTGACCTATGACATTTTTTGATTGAGTGATCCAGCTCCTTAGCCTTGTACTGAAAGTCTGATGCTTCTCTTATACTTGCTGTATCCTGGTGGACAGGCTCTCCATTGAGTTGTATTAGGCTTACTGAGTTCTTCCTTTCTTATTTCATTTCTGGTTGAGGATTCTTTAGATTTCTATCTCTAGATTGCAGTGTTCATATCCTGCCTTATCCTCATTATTTCCTGAGCCATTTGCTGGAGTCCCCTTGCCCTTCAATCAGTTTGTTCCTGTACTCTGAGTTCAGGTGCTTGTTTCCTCTTTATGTCCCTGGACTTTGTGAAAATGACTTTGAATTGTGTTTTGAGTTCTGTATCTTGAATTTCATTCAAACTGCATTCCTAGGGAGCACTGGTATTGCATTGGTGAACTACTGGTCAAGGATTTCTCACATTGACCACATGTGTAAAGCTTCTCTCATTATGCATTGTCTGATGTATCCTAAGATGTTATTTCTGGATAAATTCTTTGAAACATTCATTATTACATTTGTAAGTGTTCTCTCTGGTATGAATGTTCTGATGCTTTCTAATACGTGAGCAGCAAATGAAGGATTTGCCATAATTAGTACATTTGTTAAGTTTCTCTCCAGCATGGATTCTGTCATGTCTTTTAAAGTCTGATGAATCATAAAAGTACTTTCCAAATTCTATACATTTGTCAGAAGTTTTCCATAATGCATGTTATTATGTACTCTGAGTTGTGACAGATGCAAAAAAGGCTCACTACATTCTGTACATTTATAGATTTTCTCCTTTGTATGAGTTCCTTTATGTCCACTGAGGTTTGAGTATATCTTGAAGCATTTTCTACGTTTCTGGCATTGCCGTGGTTTTTTTCCTCTGTGGTTTTGTTTCAGGGTGGGTTTATGTTTAAAATCAAAAGATTTATTATTCTCTATATTTTTGAGTTCTTCTTTCCTACTGTGGATTTATAGGATTTGACTAAAGCTAGAACACAAATTTAAACATTTTACACAGTCTTTATATTTGAAAAGTTCTTCTCTAATGTTCCCACTTTTATGGCTGTTTAGGTTTGATTTTCAGAAATAAAAGCATCTCTGTGGTTTCCAAATCTATACTTTCTGGAGTTTTCTGCAGTATCACTTGTAACATGTAATTGGAAGGATTCATGAATCGTTTTGACAAGTTCATTACAATTATAAGACTTCTCTTGGATATTCACATGCTGATGCACAATATGCTTTGAGCTGTCATCCAGGATCTTCTTATATTTAACACACATCTGATAATTGTCTAGAAAATTAACATAGTTAAAGATAATAGGAATTGATTCAGTAAGTGCTGTTTCCTTAGGAAAAGTAAGCTAGCAATTCTTAGGAATAGAGTTCTCAGCAGAGGTCTTTTTTATTTCACTATCATTAAAAGTAAGTTCAGAAAAACCTCCACTCAAACTGCAAGGAATGATAATAAACTCATTCTTAGCTAAACTGTACACCTTGCAGAAGGTCAGTTAAGTGACTGATGGAACAATAATGAACTCTGAGAAAGGAGCTCTCTGAAGTATCATGAAAGAAATTTCTGTTTTTTTTTTTTTTTTTTTTTTTTTGGTGTCTGTATACTTTTTTTTTCGAGACAGGATTTCTCTGTGTTGTTTTGGTGCCTGTCCTGGATATCGTTCTGTAAATCAGGCTGGCCTTAAACTCACAGAGATCTTCCTGGCTCTGCCTCCCAGTGCTGGAATTAAAGGCATGCGCCATTTTGAGACACAGTCATAATATGTAGCATTGGTTAGCTAAGAACTATGTAACAAACCCAGGCAGGCATGGAACCCACCAGATCCTCTTGCTTTAGCCTCCCTAATGCTGTGATTAAAATCATGCTGGACCTGGACTAACTATAGAGAGCACATCTCAAAAAATAAACATCATGAACAATATGCTCACAATATGCTTACAGAAGCTCTTTCTGTAATTTAAATCCTCTCCATTTTAAAGATTAGAAATAGAATAGTTTAATCCAATAGTGAAAACAGAACATTCCAATTACTATGTTTACTAAAGTGTACTTCCTTGCTCTGAATATTAATTTTTCTTTGAAGTTTTCATTAAAAACTAGATTACAGGGCTGGAGCAATCAGGCAGTATATAGCATTGGTTACTCTTCCAGAGAACACAGAAATTGTAAAGGAAGAACCATGAAAAGGTCATGTTGATAACCAGCATTTCCCTTATTTCTGGGAGTCTCTAAATACTTCAGGGAGTTTACATAGGTTTACAGTAGATAAACACAAAGGATGAACCAGGAATTCTATAAGAAGAGCATTTTTACTTACAAAGACTATATTACTGTAATTCTCCAACATCACATCCATGTACAAAGCCCTCTGAGTAGAGTCAACATTCTCACTCCTCATGAGAGAAGTCCAAAGCAACATCCTAGAATGTTAGCAGACCTTGTCCAGGAAAATTTCCAGGAAAATTACATGAGCTCCTGGACAAAATGCTTTTCCTATGTAAAAGACACATTTGAAATTGTCACTTTTGTGATATAGGTGAGGTATAAATATTAGTCAAAGACAAGTTTTCTAAAGGTGTTACAGAGATGGCTTAGCAGTTAGGAGCACTGGTTGCTCTTCCAGAGGACCATAGTTTAATTCCCAGCACCCTAGGGCACCATTGCAGTTCCAAGAGATCTGATGCTTTCTTCTAACCTCTATAGGCAGGGGGCACAGATAGCACTAACACATTTATTTAGCCAAATACATCCAGTCACTTAAACCTGAAAGTGAATTTTCATAAAAGATATTTTCTAGAATAGTCATACTCTATTGTATTTACTATACTCTGTATTGCATTGTAGTCTCATAGTCAGCAAACTTGTTGGGAATATAAGATACACATTATCGATCTAGATGCAAGAATGTGCCATTATGAAAGTATGTTGACATCAGTGAGGATCCCAGTGTCACATCTCAGATGCAAAAATTATGAGCAAAACTGTGCTTTCAAGTTCCACAACTGCTGACCTTGCTCAAATATGGACACTGGATCAATCCAGTCTGCAGCTGGCCCTCACCTGATTGTATTTGAATATGCTCAGCTGAGATTCTGAGCCCTAGTACAATAGTACATCATTTCCAGAATGAAGAGAATACAGAATACAGAAGTCATAGAATAAATAAAAATCAAAGGAGTTCTTTGTTGCTGTTTTTACAAGACTGTAACTTCAGTGCATATACCCAACAATCCAAACAAGTAATAGATTCAAATATTTTGTGAAGTTATTTAATAGGAATATTTTGATATAGGAATATTTGAAGCAAATGGAAAAATCAGCATTGGATAGTATTAATATTATCTAATTTTTTCTAAGACTAGACAAAACCAAAACTGATGAATGAATGATTTCAAAATTCCATATGTGGTTACTGCTGAGAGCTGCTGATAGCAATGGCTATAGAATGATGAGAATAATATTTATAAATGAATGTACTATATGTCAGTGGTTTCAGATAAAATATAAAAATCTGTGGTTGAAATGAATGAATTAGCTGTGAGAATTATACTAACTTTATTAATTTTGAGTAGATTAACTCAATTGAAAAATTGAAGCTACTCAACTCTATTCTTTAGTATTTGAGCTCATTTGCCTTAACAGGTTTGTGTAGATACAAGTATCATTTATGATTTTTTTTCTTCACTAAAAAAAATAGGTTAGTTACTGACTCCATAACAAATGTGCACCACAGTGTAAACCTGGAGGATGGAAAGATAGCTGTGCAGTGAGAGCATGTACTTACCTGTAGAGAAACCCAGCTTCATTCTCTGTACACAGGGCAGCTCAATACAGATCCTGATTCCAGTGCCAAAGATTTGGTACCAACTTTAGGGCTCCAAGGGCATCATGTAGGCATGCATAGTATAGAAAAACAAGTAGATGAAAAATCACATACTTAAATAAAACTATTATTTTAATGAAATGGAAACCTCTCCATTGTAATAATTGTTCAGAATCTCAACATACATAATTCATAGTTTCAAGAACAGGAAAAACACAGAGTTTGGATCCTTCAAAAGAACAGTAGAGACCAAAGTCACCAGTAATTTTTTGTTTTGGTATTCTCATTTTAAAAGGACATGGAATTCATTGATTTTTACAAGATAACTCTCTTCTTTTTCCCCCTTTTATTAAAAATAGATTATTTTCTCACACAATATATCCTGATTACCATTTCCCCTCCTTCCACTCCTCCCAGTTCCTCTCCACCTCCTCTCCCTTCCAGATCCATTTTCTGTCTCTCATTAGAAAAGAACAGGCTTTTAGAGGTAAAAACAAAACACAACAAAATAAAATATAATAAGCTAAAATAAAAATCATCACAACAATGTTGGATAAGGCAAATCAACAAAAGGAAAATTGAGTCCCAAGGGCAGGCACAGGAATCAGAGACCCACTCTATCATACAATCAGAAATCTCATAAAATTATTAAACAGAAAGCTATAATACACACACACACACACACACACACACACACACACACACACACACACGACCTGATGCCAGTCCATGTAGGTCCTATGCTTGCTGTTTCAGTCTCTGTGAGTTCATATGATCTATGCTAGTTGTTCTCTTGGTATACTCCATCCCCTTTGGCTCTTAAACTCTTTTTACATCTCTTTTGTGAGGTTCCCTCAGCTCTAAAGTGTGGTTTTGATGGGGACATCCAATTTAGAGCTGTGTGTTCCAAAGTCTCTCTGTGTATTGTCTTGCTGTGGGTCTCTGTGTTTGTTCTCAGCTGCTCACAAGGCCCCATTCTTTACTTCTCACCTGTGACTATGAATAGATTCAAGAAAGGGAATCACTGTCTTTAGTTGTGTTTCTTCTGCTGAGCTTACCAGCTCCAACACATAGCTCCAAAACGACAGTCTCACAGATGGCCCTGGTTAATCTAAGTGGATCAAAAAACAAAATGAAGAGTAATGAACATGAGAGAGAGGTAAGGAATAAGGGAGAGAGAAAGAGATAAGGAAAAGGAGAGAGGAAAGAAAGAAAGCCAGTTGGCAGTATGGACCAGGATTGTGGGAAATAAGGGATGTGACTGCACACTAAGAGGTATATCATGTGAAATGACAAAATATTAGTAAAATACAAAAAAAATTTGAAATTACCATGTCAGTTTGTACTTTCATTTTTGTGTCTTTATCTGGTTTGATGTCAGAGAACATTAGCTTCATAGTGATTCCCCTTTCCTAAAATCTGTCCATAGTCACAGTTGAGAGGTAAAGGATGGGGTCCTATGAGCCTCTCCCCTTCCTAGACTGCTTGTAGCTATGGCTGGTCTTGAGTGAGACCAGTGCAGGTGAGTACAGTTGCTCTGGGTTACTGATTACTGTAGTTGTGTGGAGTCTGGAAAATGGTATGACATGGCCATTCACCCCTTCCCCTTATTTCCCTCCCACCTCCTCTTCTTCCTCAATATTCCCAGAGCCATAGATGGGATGGTGTAACTAACTTGTTTAGGGCTGTGGCCATATTATACATTGCTTGTTTTCTGCATCTTGCACAGCCACAAGTTTCTGCATTCACCAAAATTGAATTCGCTGTGCTTTATATAAAAGCCCCTTTAGCATGCCTCCCAGAAGACAAACTGGATTCTGTGTTAGTGAAGCCAGAATTTCACCATCTAGTGGTGAAAAACAGAATAGCTCAGGATGAATTCAACAAGGGGGTGTTAATTGGCAGTCTGACCCCTGGTTTCCTGATACACCTATTTCCTTTCAAAATCGTGAGTTACTGAAATGTTTTCCCTCATGTCAACATTGCTAATAGTGTAATTCTGGATATTTGACTGGAAATAGTGGAGGTCTGTGATGAAAAGATAAAGATGGCTTTTTAGTGTCACCTCATTTGCCTAGTGATCAAAATGATTATCCAGCTTTCTAGTAAAGTGCTCCAGGGTGAGTTACTGTTTAACATTTAGAATATTTCGTGTAAGAGTAGACCATGCACCTGAAACTTCACTTTAACTTTAACTAGTGCTACTTTCATGGAGCATTTTACTTGAATTCCTTGTTTTCTTTGACTGAGCCTTCTAGCTCCTGTATTTTGTCTTCAAGTCTGATATTGTGTCCCCTATGTGATCTCTTTGAGTTTTTATTATGCTTGTTGTATTTTTTTTTTTGTATTTTGTTTCATTTCAGTTTGCGTGTTTGGTGTTTCAAACTACTCATCATATTCACATTTTATATCCTAT